GTCCACATTTCTGGAGTGTCAAAGCAGCATGTGAGTTAGCACTGCTGTTATAAAACTCTATGTCCTGCTTTGAGAAAAGTATTCTAAAGCATGGTGCAATATGTCTTTTGCAAGTGCCTTATGTCTCCTTTGGAGCCAGCAAGTATCCCTTCCAGAATTTATGGGATAAAGATGTCATGCTTTGTGGTTGTGCATGACTGAAGTGCCATCACACAACTGTCAGGCTTGGTGGGTAGAAGCTTTTCTTGTATGGGCCTGATTTTCTCTGCTTAACAGCTCACTTGTGCTTCCTCCAGGGATTCTTGCCTTCCCTGGGTCCAGTTTTAAGTGATATCTCTAAGGAATAAATGTCTGTGTTCTGTGTTGCTGAATATGGTCTCTGTGGGGAGGCTGTGTGCCAAACCAGGCCTTTTGGAGACTCGGCATGTCTTACTGGCCGTTTAAAATACTCTGTGTCTAGGGAGCCAAAGGATGGTTAGAGGAAATGCAAGGTGTTTGTAAATAATCACTCAGTGCTCAGTAAGCAGCAGAGACGTTGTTAGACCCTTTGTTTGCACTACAAAGCTGCATCTGATCAGGGCTGGGTTTGCCATGGCACTGAGGGGAGGCCCATCACAGACCCACACAACTGTCCAAGTGCTGCAGCAGTGCAGGCATCCCTCGTGTAGTGTGGAGGGGTCCAGCCCTGCTCAGGGAAAGCAGGCTGAGCAAAGAGCCTTCTTGAGCTGAGACATTTCTAACACGTGGAACATGAACATTTTGAAGGCAGCTAAAGGGATGGTAAGAAATATAGCTGAGAAAGCAAGCTGGCAAAGGCAGAGCACTACTAACCTGTCTGGCTTTGACAGTCCATGAATCTGCATTCCCTGATGCAAAGGCATGCTCTAAAACAGTTACTGAATGTGTTTGCATGTGTTAGACTTGCAGGGATGTATCCTTTGTACTTCTAGTTCCCGGTTGCTTCAGTTCCCTTGTGTACTGTTTTTTCTTTCCCAGAGGACACATGGTGATGGGAGACTCCTTCAACACTTCTCTCTTCAAACAGACCTTCCAGCGGGTATTTAACAAAGGGTACAACGGGGAGTTTCGGATGGCTTTTGGTGCAAATTTGGATGTGAAGGTGAGAGATCAGTTTGATTGGATGACATAATGGGGGTAAAATACAAGTGCTGTTCACTCAAAAGTCAGTTGAAGTCTCTGGGGCGTATTAAAGTGTACATGTTTGAGGTCAGATGTCATCTTGGCTTCTTTGGGAGAAGCACCACACTGGTGGAAAGAATTTTTATTTGGAAGCTTAGTAAGTTTGTGGCAGGTTTTTTTGTTGTTGCTGTTGTTTTGTGGGTTTGGTTTTTTTATCATCTCACCAAAGCTGAGCAACTGGTTTAGACTGTGTACTCTATTTGATTGACTTGATTAAAAAAAATCCACGACTTTTTTTTTTTTTACCTTGTTCTAGACCTCTAGGGAGCTGAAAATTGCAGGAGCTATTGGACCATGCATATCACTCAATGCTAAAGGCCCGTGTGTCTCTGAAAATGTAAGTTTCTGACATGGAAAAATCTTTAATAGCAAAGTAAATAAACAGTGCAAAGTTTCTGTCTAGCCCTACAGCTCAGCTAGAATATCAGAGTTTTCAAGGAGAACAACAACTTGGAAACATCCCTACGAAGTGACAGTCTTTCCTAGACTAAATTCTTGCCCCATAAGGCTTTCTTTAACTGTATGGCCTTCAGTAGCTTCATTCACACTCAAAAGATAATGAATCTAGGTGGCCTGCCATTACTTCTGCATTGGATCAGAATTTGACATTAGCTTGCCTTTCCTGCTGCTAGAGGCAAAATTGCTGCTTTCTTTTTGATTCTGTGCAGGAGCTTGGAATTGGAGGAACATCTCAGTGGAAAATCTGTAGTCTGGATCCCAGTACAACTCTGGCCATTTACTTTGAAGTGGTAAATCAGGTCAGTCTTGGCTTCTCTTTTTTTTTGATCATCTTTTTTACACATCAAACTACTTGTTACAGGGCTAGAAAGTGCAATGACATCCCCTGTGTTGCAGGTGGATGGTTGCAAAGCAATCAATTTTTTCGTAATAAAGAAATAGTCTCAGAAATTGTTTTCGTAGGTATAAATTGTCTGCTATTTTTGTTCTTTACAAAACCTGCATTCTTTCCTTGTTTTTTTCTATAGTATTTATTTAACAAAGAAGAAATTGTCTTTTTGCCAGTAGGTGCAGTGGAGAATAAATAATGTTAAAATATGTTAAAATTTTTGGAGAATCAGTCCTTCAAGTTGTAATAACTTGATGGCTCAGAAGTAACTGTGGCAGCTCGGAAGATTACCCCAAAGGAATTTTATTCCATGTGTGTTGTCTTTGTTTTCTGTTTCGTGCGGGCTTGTTACAGTTGGAAAGAGTTACGGAAAAGCCATGATGTTTTGAAAGCTGCCCTTGTTTCATTTGCAGCACAACGCACCGATACCTCAGGGAAGCAGAGGGGCAGTGCAGTTTGTCACTCAGTATCAACACTCCAGCACGGAAAAGCGCATTCGTGTCACCACCATAGCCAGAAAGTGAGTATCCTGTGCCAGCTCTCCAGCAGAGTGGCAGAAAGTTAAGCTGCAGACTTCTGGAATTTTTCTAGCTTTTTGTTGCATGCAGTGGCCACAGAGTAGCTGGCACAAGGAGGATGAGTCTGGTTTGGGTTTTGCCGAAGGTGGATGCATGGAGCACTAACCCTTTACTAACCCTGTAGCTGGGCAGATGCACAGACTCAGCTCCAGCATATAGAAGCTGCGTTTGACCAGGAAGCAGCTGCCGTGCTGATGGCACGACTGGGAGTGTACAGAGCTGAATCTGAGGAGGGACCTGATGTTCTGCGGTGGCTGGACAGACAGCTGATCAGGCTGGTAAGAAAATCAGACTGTGGTTGGGTGCGTTCTTGATTTAGTAAAAATGCTGTCCTAAGAAGTGATAACAGCAGTCTTTTTTCAGATTGACTCGCTTCATTTATACTCTGATCGTGGTCACATACTTGTAGTATGTGATAGCTCAGAATTAAGTTGTGATCAGCAAATTTTTGATGGGGTAGGTAAACATCCCATTATGCTGAAAGAGTTAAACCTGAGATTGAATCAATGATAATGAAACACAGTAATGCAGGTGGGAAGGTCTCTGATTTGACCCTCCTGCTTAAAGCAGGGCCAGCTTTGAAGTTAGAGCGGGTTGCTCCAGGTCTTATTCAGCTGAGTTTTGAAGATCTCCAAAGATGGGATTTCTCTTGCTTCTCTTAACAGCCTGTTCCAATGTCTGATCACAGTCACTAGGATCCTTTTTTTCTCTCTCCCCTGCCTCTATTTCCCAGTCAGAATTTCCATTTGCCCAGTTACCAGTCAGGTAGCTGTAGACAGCGATTGGACTCCTTGATCCCACTCCTCACCAGGCTGAACAAACCCAGCTTCCTCAGCCTTACTTTCTGCCTGAGATGCTCCAACACCTGACTAGCTTGGTGGCTTCTGCTAAACCCACTCCAATATATCCATGTCTGTCTTACACCGGAGAGCCCAAAACTAGACACAGCACTCAGATGTGGGCTAAATTCAGAGCAATAATCTGAATTAATTCTTCAAGCTCTTGCTGTCTCTTGCTTTGAATTTTACAAGCCCAGATTGTCTAAATCAATGTTGACCTTGTCCAAACACCCATGTGGAGTTGGTACTAACACAGTGTGGCACATCATACACTGAAAAACTGAGATTTGAACACAAACAAGCACACTGCATGTTGAAAAGACTGTGGAGTCATTTATAGTTAAATTGCTAAAACCATTGATGCTTCTTATTTTCAGGGAAGCAGTTGGTGAAATGCCAGTCTGCTGCTGTTCTAGCAGGAAGTAATTGTCACAGAACTGTTTCATAGTGTACAAAGCAGTTTAAGTATAATGTAGTAGCCCTGATTTAATGGGTAGTGCTTTAGAAGCACTATATGAAGAAGCACTATGGAGATCTTCAAAGCACTATTTCTTTCAGTCTTGGATAATTTCACATCTAGGGGTTTTATATATATATATATATAAATAGGTTGAATCATCATTCCCATTCCAGTAAGACAGAGTAACCACTGACTTAAAGAATGTGAATGTTGTAATTACTTGTTCTCATCATCAGGTTCATGCCTTGATTGTTTAAAAACAACCAAGAGAACACCCTTCTGGAAAAAAGAAAAGGTGTTAATTCTAAAAAAAAAAAAAAAAAAAAAAAAAAAAAAAAAGGAAAAAATAGAAAAAAGAGATAGATAACCAGAGTATCCATTTTGCTTCCAACAGTGTCAGAAATTTGGACAATACAACAAAGATGATCCCAACTCCTTCAGATTGTCAGAATCATTTTCTTTGTATCCTCAGGTAAGGATGTCATGGGAAAAGTGTGCAAGAGTGAGTGTGAGTGATACTAAAACATCTTGTACTATTTGTCAGATTCAAGAGGGGAGGAACAGGTGCTTTTTTAATTTAGTGGACTGGTCCTGCAGTTCAGTGCTGCAAGTGACTGATAGGGGAAGAATTCTGAGTAGTTAATAAGGGGTAGACTTTTTTCCAAAGAATTTGCTGTTCAGAAAGATTGGATTTGGGTCCAGAAGTTTTGGCAACTTTGGCTGACATTTCTCTTCTCACTCATCTTTCTGGTGCAGTTCATGTTCCATCTACGACGCTCCCCATTCCTGCAGGTCTTCAATAACAGTCCTGATGAATCTTCATATTACCGTCACCACTTTGCTAGGCAAGATCTCACCCAGTCTCTCATTATGATCCAGCCCATCCTTTATGCTTATTCTTTCCATGGGCCTCCTGAGGTGAGTCTGTGTTTTACAGGAAGAGGTGAATCAACCCAAAATAACGAGTATTCAGTCAGAGTAACACTATTTCAGCAAAAAGGCCCCTATATTTCTTTTTTAGTTGTTAAAGCCGAGATACTTTTGTTCAAGATCATATCAAATTACACTTGGATGGCCATGGATGCTCTCTGGCATCCTGCACTTCATACAGGTGCTGATAACCTGCTGCTCCATTCTGTGCTGCTGCAGGAGGCTGGCCACACTCTGCTGGGCATTCCCATGGACTGAGCAGTGCCCGTATGGGCAGGGTTCAACAAGCTGTCTGGCCAGCCGTGAAGGTTAATAGACCTCTGAGGGCTTAGGGGTGCCTGATTTTGTTCTTTATTTTCTCCAGCCAGTGCTTTTGGATAGCAGCAGTATTCTTCCTGACAGAATCCTCCTGATGGATACTTTCTTCCAGATAGTTATCTACCTTGGTGAGGTACAGTGAACCATGTTCTCTTTCTCTGTTTGCACTCCTTCCCTCCTGCCATGCATGTGGACAGCATTGCTGTTAGTATAAAATAAGCTTCTTGCAAAGCCCACATGAGCTTAATGACATGGTATACATGCTGCCTGTTTGAATAGAATTTCTCCACTATCAGAGTTAAAATAATACTGGAGTTGCTAAGGATGTGTTCTGCACTTGAGTAGCAGCTGTTATGTTAGCTTGGTAATGAAGGTGGTCCCTTACCATGCCTGGAAGAGGCTAGAGAAACTTGAAACTAAGCAGGACAGAGAGTTACAGTTTGATTTTCAGGTACTTGATTGCCGGGTTTTGACACTTAAATACTGCTTCTCTTAAATCAGTTAGGCAGTTTTACAGTTTTTGCTTTTAAATACTGGATGTTTTTGGAAGCTGTTCCTATATTTCTTCCTTACTGAGGTAAATGCTTATATACTGGCTCTTTCTAAACAGACTTACCCCTTGGCTTTGATCTACTTGGGTCTGCCTATGTACTATGCAGACCTGTAGATCTGTATTTCAGTCCTGTCAGATTTTGGAAGGGAGCAGTGCAATACTGTAGCTGAAGAACAAAAATGTGTCACATCCTAGAGTAGTCATAGCGTAAGGGATGAAGAGGAAGGCTGCTTTCCATTTCTTTTTCTGGAAAACTCCCTGTTCTTTGATGCCTTTTTCCCCCCTCATATCCTTCCTATCCATATTCCCTCATACGATTCCTATCAGTGAAAACTTTTTGGGAGGTATTTTAACCCTTCCCTTTGTCTTTGAATTAAGCTACTTTGCTGGTATTTGATGACTGTTATTAGAACGCTTGAAGTTTGGCGTGATAGTTTTTGGCAGCCTCACTGTTAGCTCCTGATTTCACTCCATATAGGATTTGTTCCCTTTGAGAAGTGAGAAGGGATACCCAATTGACACGAACAGGAGTTGAACACTTGAGTCAACAATGACAATAAATCTGGAGTGACCTTAAACAGTTTCTACCTGCTGTTGCAGAGCAAGACACTCAGCAACTCGGTAAAATTTAGACAGAGGAAGAGCTAAGTGTGTGTGACCTGTATATGTGTAGAACAATTGCTACATATATATAGTACATACAATAGGTACCTTGAAAATACTCTAAGGTCAAGTCAGATTCTTCATGTTTCTGTGTTGGCACAGGCTGAAACATAAAGGCTTGAAGATCACTTTCAACTAATTGCTTTTGCACTGCACAAATTGCTACCAGCTTTTGTGTTGAGGGCCTGTGCTTAAATTCAGTGACAGAAAGTAATGTTTTTGCCAGAGCAGTGAAAGGGTGCATTTACCCTGTAAGCAGAAGTATGTGTAACATTTTGCTGCTTTAAGATGTGCAGGTTAAAAAGGAGAGGCTTGCAGATATCTCTGCTCTTGTTTTCATTTCATCCCTGTATCATCAATAGACTATTGCACAGTGGCAGAAAGCTGGATACCAAGACATGCCTGAATATGAAAACTTCAAGCACCTACTGCAAGCCCCACTGGATGACGGCCAGGAAATCCTGCAGACCAGATTCCCAATGCCACGTTACATCCACACTGAACATGGGGGCAGTCAGGTAGGAAAGTTTATGGAGGAACTCCTTCTGTTGTTGCCTAGAGCAAATGGCTGTCTTTCTGCTTTTCTGGAAGGATGGTTCTGTAAGTTAAATGTAGTGGTAATTTAGCTCTTCAAAGTACAGAGCTTGCATATTTTCTCATGAGCTTTTACCACAACTCTGTCTTTTAATAAGTAAGTCACTTGCTGGATATACTTTTGAAATCTGAGGAGGGGAAAAAAATGGAAAAGCTGACTTAAATACATTTTTATTCCCAAAGAGGTGGGAAAGAAATGATTTGGTTATGTGTCTGTAGTTAGCCTGCAGTAATGCTGAATGATTGACCACCTGCTCCTTTATTCTCTAACACTGAATGAGGATATAAAGTAGTTCCTATTGTTGTTCTTCTTGGAATTGCAGTTGTGCTGTGCTTCCCTGTGCCTGGCTTGTTTGTAGCAGTGAAGAGGCAGGAACTGATGGTCCAAAACAAAGATTTGGTATTGATTTTTGATGTGACTCTGTTACACTGGTCCTCTACTGACCCCTTTTCTGAAGAGCAGATGGGGCATGCAAGGGACAGAGCTGGTGACATGCCCGTGTTGCATGGAACCAGAGCTGCCCTGCCAGGCGAGCAGGACTTGTAGCAGAGCACTCAGTGCCCCTTGGACACTGGTTGTCTGTGGAGCAGGGCTGTTTCTGGACTTGAAACCTGTTTAAGTTCCATTAGCACCTTGCTTGCAAAAGCAGAGGAACATCTCTAGTCATGGATCTAAGGTGGTATGAAGCTTTGAGGGGGCTCACAGGTCTGTCATTTTACAAAACTACTTCTCTTTTGTCCTGATAGGCCCGGTTCCTCTTGTCTAAAGTGAACCCATCTCAGACCCACAATAACCTCTATGCATGGGGACAGGTAAGCAATGAAAGAGCTGCTCATGTTTGGGAATGCTGTAAAATGTACATGTACATATTTGTCTGGGCAGCAGGCATTGTGAGCAGGTTACATTTGCCCTCAGTTTCTTACTATGGTTGTTGATAAGATAAACAGTACTGGTGGGGACCACTAGATGATGAGAATAACAGTTTTCAAGCCTGGATGACTAATTCGTGTTCCTATTCTTGTACTGAATCCCCACAAATTTTCCACAAAACCCAGTTGATTTTGAGGTTTTTCCTCAAGGCGTCCAAGGAATGCCTGTCCAAACAGAGGTGATGCATCAACAGTTCAGGACCTGAGTAGCTTGATGGCAGGAAAGGAGTGGTTTCCACAAGGAGTAGTTTTTCCCTTTGATTTTTCCCTTCCCATATCTCAGCTGCATGGGAGGCACAGGCAAACCAGGAGAATTTTCTGTGTTGGCTGCTATTGAAGGAAGCAGCTGATTTTATGTAGCCTATGTTCTTAGAGATTTCAGGTGACCTAATGTAGAAATTTATCTTGACCCTTCCCTACAAATATGATTTAAATAGGTCACAATGTATTTAGTATTTTGGAAAAAGTAACTAGCATATGGATACATATAGATCTAAGAACTCTATCTGAGAATACTAGACCTTTATATACTTTTTGTTTACCTTGTTTGTGTAGCACTTTGGGCAGCAAAATTCCTAATGCTTTAGGTAGAAGAGACTTTTCTGCAGTAATTCAGATTGTACTGGAGGATAGTGTTAGTGCTGTTGCCAAAAGGTAGCAACTTTTCATTAGAGATGCAAAGGATCTCTACTGATCCTGTCTTTTGCAGGAGAAAAAGGTGGTTAATTTGGCAGGCAGTCAGTTCAGAGCGCTAACATTTTATTTGCTTTCAATTAGTCCCCTGCATTAACAACAGTATTTTAGGCTCATTATTTCTTTTTTTTTTTTTTCAGGAATCAGGAGCTCCAATCTTGACAGATGATGTGAGTCTCCAGGTATTCATGGACCACTTAAAAAAGCTGGCAGTTTCGAGTGCATCATGAGGGATCAAACTGAGGAGCAAGAAGAGACATGGATCATGTTGATGACAGAAATGGAGCAGTTTAGTTACATTTCCTTTTCTCTCTTTTAAACTAGGGGTTTTAAGTATTACATGAAATAAACATTCCGGGGGAGTTTTTACTGCTCCTTTCTAACTTATTTGTATTCCCTTTTGTCTATATTCTGCTTACGTTACATTTTTCACACACTGTAATTAGAGCTGAAGGATGTTTTAGTCAACAGAGATTTTGACAGTCTTTGGCTTAATTTTAATGTTGCGTGTTCTTAAGAAGTGGCTTTTGGCAACCAGCGGACTGTATTAATGAAAAATAAAATCAGGTAAGAGAACCACCCCTTCGTGCTGTCCCCGACTTCAGGTGTACGTAGAATGGGCGTTTCCTGCCTCCTCCTTTCCCCGCCGCCCCCGCGGCCATCTTGCCGCTGCCCCCGCCCTGCGCGCCGCCCCATTGGCGGCGGGGCGCGGCCAATGAGCGCGGCGTTTTTACTGGGGGCGCGATTGCGCAGTGCCCGTGTGGAACGCGCGGCAGCGACTGCTGTACTCGCTGGGGCGGATGGACGGCCGCTGCGGCGGGATGGTCTACTACAGCGCTACGGCAGGCGGCGGCGGCGACCGAGAGCGGGGCGGCGGCCCGGTCGGGCTGGCGCGCCCGGGACCAGGGGAGGACGGTGCTGTGTCACCCCGGGAAGGGCGTGACGCGGCTGGGCCTAGGGGTGGGGTTTGGCTTGGAGGGGGGGCTCGCTTGCGGGGGCGAGCTCCCGGCACGCGCGGGGCGCTGTCGGCGGGGGTGCTTAGCTTTCCGTGAGGGAGCTGGGCCGCAGCGCAGGGCTTGTTCGGGGACGTAGTCCTGGGAGGAAAAGCGCCAGGATGGCCGGAGACTGCGCCCCGCGCGCTATTTTCGGCCGGGGAAGAGCAGGGCGGGTGCTGCCTGGCAGACGTTCCGCCCGCCCGCCCCTCGGGGCCGCTTGGGTCTGGAAGTGACAGCAGCAGTCTTTTTTCGTATTGATTGCTTCATTTGTACCTCTTGGTCATGGTCACATTAGTTGTAGTACGTGATAGCTCAGAACCCAGTTGTGATCAGCAACTGTGAGGCAGCCGGAGCGCGGCCTTTGCTTGGGCCGGGTGAGTGCACTGGGCGTCCGCCCGCCCCCCCGGCAGCCCGAATGGGTTAACCCTGAAGGAAGATAAATCCCCTGTTGAAGGGAGAAGCTTGTGCTTTACCGCAGGTCACAGGAACAGGGACTAGAGTCTTCCCGAACTGTTGCTTTTATTTACATTGTGGGAGTGGTTGAAAGCTGTGCTGGGGGCAGATTAGGCTGGACATTAGGAAGAGTGGTCAGACAGTGGAACAAGCTTCCCGGAGAGGTGGTCGACACCCCCAGCCTGTCGGTGTTTAAGAGGCCTTTGGACAATACTTTAACCTTTGGTCAGCTCTGCACTGAGCTGCTTGAGCTAGCTGTAATGTGGGTAACTTGGAAACCAGTTGTTATTGCTGCTATTGTAGTACTGTTTCTTGTCCAGTGCCAGTGCAGGTATCTAACCTACCCTAGTAAATCACTTTTTCTGGCTACAGACTTACCAGATCTTTGCTATCTATTCCTCAGAATTTGAGGAAAAGGGAAAAGAAGACTGAATGCCCATGTGGCTGCTGTCGTGTCATGATGAAAGCATGAAACATTTTTATTGCTGTGCTCTCTTTTGTCTCCCCTCTTACCCTCCCCCCATTCCTTAGAGAATGAAAATGATCCTCAGACGAACCAAGGGCCCCGTAAGGAAGTATACACTACGGAAACACCTTTCGGATTCCAAGTGAGAACAGAAATAACATACAGAGATGATCAGCCTCCTCTTACTCGACTGCTCAGGCGTGTGGTATCATTCTTTGATTCTAGTGGCAGCCCGCCTTCTGAAAAGTGAGCTGCCTGAAGGCTCAGAACATTGTGTTGGGGCTCTGAGAATGTCATCCCAGTGCCTTATGTCAGACCACCACTGGAAAATTGTCCCTTGCATTTCTGAAGCAACAGCTCCATCTTGGACACCGCTCTGCTGGACTTGCCAACCTTCTTGTCCGCTTGGATCGCTGCTGTTCTTTGTCTGTGTATTGGAATTGCTGAACATGAACTGGGTTCATCAGGTGTCCTGTGAGGTGGTAATGAACCTGTGTGCTGCCTGGTGTCCTGCAACCAATGCTCTGACCAGGTGTGATTTCCCAGCTGGTGTGCAGGACATACCCGGATGATCCACAATGTACCTGGGATGGCTTCTCAACTGAGCAGCTCTGAAATGGATACTTGAAGAACAATTAGTAAATGGGAAGGAGTGTAGTTTAATGTTTCAGGTACAAGAGTTCTTACTCATCCTTCAAATAAAAGCTTATGAGGGATGAATTACAACTACTGCGAGTTAAAAAGTTGTTAAATTTTCTGCTCCAGGCTCTTGTTTCTATAGGGATTTTCCTGATCCTTATACATGCTATGCCCCCTTGTAGGATACTGTCCCCTAGCTCTGTGGCCATAACTAATGTTCATTCTGTAGGGTTTTCTCTAATCCTTATGTACATCACCTCCTTTCCAATCTCCTGGCCATTTGCTGTTGATGTTTCCCCTCGTTTCTCTCACTGCTGACCCTCATTGCTGCAGGGGCTCCCTGCAGCCTCCACTTCCTCTTCTAGAGCTCTGCCCCCAGCCCTTCCTTTTCCCACAGGCTTCCTCCAGTCCCTATGGACATGGCCTCCCTTTTGGGGGGAGCTGACCCAAGACCCTGCACCGGCAGAGCTTCCTTTCTGTAGGGGCTTCTGCCTGCCCCTGCCCCACCTCCCCATTTCTATCAAGGCTCTCCCTACAGCTTTTTTAGGACACCCCTTGCCCTACCCCACACAAGTCTCTCTAAGGTCTCCCATCTTGCCATAAGGAAAGCTGTCTCTGCCCACACACCTGAAGTTCCAGATCCTTCCAGTATCTGAAGGGGGCCTACAGGGAAGCCAGAGAGAGACTCTTCATCAGGAACTGTAGTGGTAGGACAAGGGGGAAAATCTAGGGTAGATATCAGGAAGAAATTCTTTACTGGGAAGGTGGTGAGGCACTGGAACAGATTGCCAAGGGACGTTGTGGATTCCCCAACTGTGGAAGCATTCAAAGCAAGGTTTTGGATAAAGCCTTGAGCAACCTGGTCTAGTGAAAGGCCTCACAGCAGGGAGATTGGGACAGGATGATCTTTAAGGTCCCTTCCAACCCAAACCATTCTATAATTCTATTGGAGCTTTTATAACACAAGCCCCACACAGTCCATGCACCTACAGACTCACCTTTCCATATAGACTCCTCTGGTCCCTACAGCTACCACCTCCTTTTCCAGAGGGCTACTCCCAGGCACTAATTTCTCTGGGCACTGCCTCGTGCTATAGAGGTGCCGCTCTGGTTACCTGCATTTTCTCCCTTTTGTAGGTGCCCCCACAAAACCCTACAGACATTAACTCCCCTTTAGAGGAAGGGAGCCCCTCCACACACTGAACACCTGTGCACACCTGTCCTGTGCCTACCTGTCCTTTACGCACCTGTGCATGCCTGTCCTGTGCACACCTCTACGCACCTGTCCCGTGTACCTCTGTGCACACCTGCCCTGAACACACCTTTCCTGTAGACACTGGGCCTGTACAAGCCTGTACCCATCTGTGCATGCCTGCCCCGCGCATACCTGTGGACAACTGTCCTGTGCCCACCTGTCCTGTGCCCACCTGTCCTGTGCACACCTGGTCAGTGCACACCCAGTCAGTGCACACTTGTCCTGGGCACACCTGTCCTGTGCCCACCTGTCCTGTGCACACCTGGTCTGCACACACCTGTCCTGTGCACACGTGGTCAGTGCACACCTGCACACACCTGTCCTGCACCCACCTGCCCTGTGCACACCCAGTCCGTGCACACCTGTCCTGCGCACAGCTGTCCCCTTTTGCTCTCCACGCGGCAGCCCTGTCGGCAGCTATGATCGGCGAAGGTGCCGGCTTGGCTGCAGTAGCACCTCCGGAAACCGCGGGCGGCGTGCGGCGCGGCGAGCGGGCCAGGGAGCGGCCGCCCGTTAGCCGGGCGCCCGCCGCCTGTCCCGCTCGGCGCCGGCCCGCGCTGCGCCGATCGCAGGCGATTCGTGCAGGCGGTGGCCCAGTGCAACAGCGCTCACAGGTCACGATGCGCCCCAGCCGCGGAGGGGCCGGGGCGGCCGGGATGTTAGTGTGCGTGTAAATGGCGATGTTGTGTGTGGGTCTATGTATGCATGTGTTGCGGTCCCCTTTCACTCCTGTCCCGTCTGCGCGGGTTTGGCGAGTGGGCCGGCTCGCTATGCTTCTCCCACGGGGCCCAAGCCAGCTCCCTCATGGGATTGCGCGTCCGCTGGTCTGTGTCTGATCACGGTACTGTGCTACATCCTCGCCTTTGCCGGCATGGCTGGCAGTCCCGCTGCAGTCGCCTCTCGAGTCTTGTATTCATACCACAAGTCGCAGTCATTTATGCATTGCTTGTTTGCGTTCACAGAAATCACAGAACATTTTGGGTTAAGGAAGGCACTCACGAGGGATCATACGAGTCCCCAACTCTTAGCCTGCACAGGGTTATACGCAGGAGTCACCACCATAGTGCCTGAGAGCGTTGGTCACAAAACGCTTCTTGAATATTACTGTTCGGGCTTTGGTGTCCGTTGTCGCGGAGGCCGTCCTGGTCACTGCCGCGCTGTGTGTGTTGGCAGTGCCATCCTCTCTGCGAGCCCTCGCTCCTGCGTGTGTGCCACGACAGCCACAGCCACCTGCATCGCTTGCTTGCGTGGCAGGACTGAACCGGTGACTGTTCCACGTTGCCTGTGTGTGTGTCAGAGTAGCCATCCCAGCTGCCTCCTTGCACCACGGACACGTGCTGGCACCACGGTCACAGTTGCCTCTGTCCTGCGTGTGCATGTCAGCAGTGAGCCTGTGATCACCTTCCCCCAGCGAATGTGTCAGCACTGTAATCAAGGGTGCCTCCATGCAGCGTGTATGTGGTGGCAGTGCCCTCCCAGTTTCCCTCTCCTGTGGCTCCTGTGCATTGGCAGTACAATCACAGTCACCTCGGAGCATTGCAAGCACGTTGGCAGTGCAGCCTGGTGTCCCTTTTTGCACTGCTTGCGTGTGTCAGTGGTGCTGTCCCTGCTGCCACTGGGCACTGCTTGCCTGGGTCAGTAGCCCTGGTGCCGATTGGAATGGTGTGTCCTGATGGAATGTCCCCGCTATTGCACTGGATGGACCTTCTGTGCTTGAGATGCTTAAAATCCCCAAGAAGTTTGCACGTGAGGCAGTGAGCTCTGCTGTGCGGCGCAGGGGTCAAGAAGTGTGCAGCAGGATGGCCTTCACGCTATAAAACAGTTTCTGCTTGTGTGTCAGCACTGAGAGAGTGTGTTTGTGTAAGGGGCACAGCTTTTGTGCACAGCTGGTACTGCGGCCACAACAGTGGTCAGTCCCCATCAGCACTGGAGTTCTTGCTGACTTACTGCCACTTCTCTGGGGAATAATTTAAACTATTGCTTCTGGCTGTTATGTCACTCTCTGAGGGAGAGAGTGCTGTACATAGCAGAACAGATTTCTAAGCTGGAGGACTCATACCCAGATCAAATGGAAAGAGTCTTTGTGAGGAGTTTTTCCCCCTGGTTTGCTTCTGCCCATTGGGAATAGTCCTGATATGGCCACTAGTGCAGAGACACAAGCTTTCAGCTTTTGCTGGAGACCTGATCTCCTCTCATTTTACAGAATGTTTGGAGCTTTTTTCCCCAGTCATGAGCCTGGATGCAGTTTTAACAGCTGGGTAACTGGTGCTTATCTCAGTTTTAAGGCTGCATCTAATCTTACTACAGTGATCTCAGGATCAACCACGGTCCATAATTTAAATTAAGATAATCAGTTTAAGATAATTTAAAACATTTCTTAGGAAAACGCTGTAGATCTTTGATGGTTTGTGTTTTATTGTAAATGTCATTAAAGGGGTTGTGTTCCCAATTAGAAGGGCAGAATTTGCAGGTTGTTAAAACTCATATTTCAAAAAATTCGTGAGGGTAGAAGGTAGAAGTCACCTTTTCACAACAAATACAAAGTATGAAGGGAATGGTGGAGTAGAGAACTTGAGTAAACTTAGTGACATCAACCAGGTGGATAATTTTACAAGTCTTGGAGAGAGTTCTGCCACCTCTCTGGTTAGCATGGCTGATCCAGCAGTAGTAAAAATCTTTCAACAGTTTTTAAATGCTGGAATAAGCATCCTGAGCTCACAAAGAAGTGACACTGGGAAGCTTTTGAAAGAATGCTTCTATGTGATCTTTAATCTCTAAAAACTTAACACAGATAAGCAGGGTTTGGAAATGCTGTTTGGTGGATGAACAGTTTTCCAGCTGAAAGCAGTACTAACTTGTGTCATAAAACAAGTCAGTGCATTTAACCTTACTTTTCCCCCTCTCCTTCCCCAGTGGGTGGTGAACAGATCAGCTCAATAGGACGAGGCCTCTGTGTGCTGCTGGGCATTTCTTTGGAAGATACACAAAGAGAGCTGGAGCACATGTAAGTCGCTTATTTCCTTTTGCCTTGTGCTGTTTTACTTGTTTACTGCCGGTACTGAATCACTGATACCTGTGCAGTAGCCAAACAAATTGATTATTCCTATTGGGAGATTCAGGTTTGCCTGTTAGTTCCTCTTGAGATTTTACCTTGAATACAAATTTCTTAGTTAGTTCTTAGTTTATGTTCCACTGAGAAAAGTCTGTTTCTGTTCCCTGTCTCTGTGTTTTCTAACAAGAGCAGACTCAAAAAGGAAGAATCAACATGTTGGGTTTTTCAGATTTCCCTTTTTTAGCTGTCTGTCCTTTTTACTGCATGAATTTACCCAGAAGAAATCCATCCTTCAAGGATGGGATTTATCAGAAACCTCAAACTCTCATTTTAGTTTGCACAGAAGTTTTGTTCTTCCAAAAGGCAGGATACTCCTGTCAGTTAGTTGTGTGGAAACATGAATCAATTTTGGCAGCCTGGAGGACTGGCTCTGGCCATCTGTTCCATGGCCACAGAATAGCGTAATTCAGCCAGCAAACACATGCAAGGAGGAGTTCTCCAGGGGCTTCTTCTGTCTCCTTCAGACAGATCATTATTCTAAGACTGACCTCAGTCCTTACAAAGGCAAAGAAGAAACAGGTGGTGGAGCTGACTGATGTCAAGGAGAGGAAAGGCTCAAGCAGTGAAGAGAGAAGAATGTGAGGGACGGTGAAAACAACCCTTAGCAGATGTGGCACAGAAAGTAAGAGACTGAGGATATGACCTGAAGGTCACCAAAGATCTCACATAAACGTTTGAAACTTGTAGAGAATTGCAGCAGAGCTGAAGGGGGTTTTATTC